AATTTTCTTCTGAAAAAATAATGGACTCGTGTAAAATGTGTGGGAGCCCAGAATAAATTCTTGCCCAACTCTTCTATGGCACTGAAAAGAAATTGTTCAATTCTACATGCTTATAGTTCTTCCTGCAATGTTAGGAGCATTGAATTCTAATTCTATTCTAGTTACTTGAAAATTCACAACTTCAATCACAAGTTAGAACATTATATGCTACTAGTATCCTAATCCACGATACACAAAATTTAAAGGAATTTTAGACTTTATTCTGTATCTAATTACTAGCTTCGTATGATTGGGGCTGCCAGAGACCCTATTAGAAGTTAGTGATTTAATCATCGATCAATTTAAAACTTCCAGTCACTGAACACTGAGCGAAAATTTTGATTTCTTGTTTTGATTAGCTGTTTTTGGAATAAAAATCAGTACTTGTTCCTTTCTTAGCAAATGCTTGACTGCCTCAGCCACCGATGCAGTTGTGTCATAGTTGCAAATAACCAAATGTATAAACCAGGATTAATATGTAATTTCATTAATTAATTTTTCTCCTTTAACTAGCAGAGACTTCATTAGTAGCAATGAGTAAGCAAGGAGCTGAAGGGATTATGTCTAATCAGGAAATACAGTTTGCTTTCTACCCCATATGTTACATTAGAAACTAGACTTAAGAGGAGCTAAATCAACTGTGTGAGTGTGCCCCTACAAATTTCTAGACTTAAGAGGAGCTAAGTGTTAATAGCCAGAAGAAAGATTACTGAATTGCTGACAATGATTAATAGCTGTTGAAACATGTATTTATCAGGCTAAAGCAAGTCTCCATCAGGTAGATCATGAGGAAATTTAAGATGTACGTTTCCATTAACTTGTGGGTTAATTTTAGAAAACCGCCATCAACTATGGGTCCTATCTCAAAAAAAAAAAAAAAAAAAAAAAAAAAAAAAAAAACACTAGTTTATTTATTAGAAAACCCCTCTCACTTTTGAGGATGTTGTAGATAACCCCCCTCAACTTTCAAAATATGACTAAACCCCCCTTAACTATGGGGTGTCTCACAAAACCCCCTTTATCTATTTAGTTTTTTTTTCAAATAACCTTCCTAATATTATTAATTTGAAATATGCAATGATTAAAATACCCTTGGTTGAAAAAATTCATGTGAGTTTAAAAACTCAACCCAATCAAAATATTAA